CACCACTGCACTCCAGAGCAAGACTGTCTCAAAAAAAAAGAAAAGAAAAAAACTCCTGTGTAAATGGACCTGCATAGTTCAAATCCATGTTGTTCAGGAGTCTACTGTAGACTATTAAGGGTGCCATAGCATTATGTTTAAAAAAATAACTTACATACATTAATTTAAAAATACTTTATTGCTAAAAAATGCCAATGATCTTCTGAACCTTCAGGGAGTCACACATAACCTTTTTGCTTGTGGAAGGTATTGCCTAGATATTAATGACTGCTGACAGATCAGGATCTGACAGAGTGGGATGGCAGTGGCAGTTTTTTAAAAGACAACAGTGAAGTTTGCCCCATCGATTATTTCTTTCATGAAAGAGTTCTTTATAGCATGTGATGCATTTTTACCCTACAGTAGAACATCTTTCAGAATTGAAGTCAGTCCTCTAAAACCCTGCCACTGCTGTGTTATCAACTAAGTTTATGTAATAGTCTAAATATTATGTTGTCATTTCAACAATGTTCACAGCCAGGAATAGATTCTATCTCAAGAAACCACTTTTGCGGGGTGCAGTGACTCATGCCTATAATCCCAGCACTTTGGGAGGCCAAAGCAGGCAGATTACAAGGTCAGGAGTTCGAGACCAGCCTGGCCAATATGGTGAAACTCTGTCTCTGGGTCTCTGGTAAACATTCAGAAATTAACTGGACATGGTGGTGGTACCTGGCAGGAGAATTGCTTGAAGCCAGGAGGCGGAGGTTGCAGTGAACTGTGCCATTACACTCTAGGCTGGGTGACAGAGGGAGACTCTGACTCAAGAAAAAAAAAAAAAAAAAAAAACACTTTCTGTGGTCACCCATAAGAAGCAACTCATCCATTCAAGTTTGATCATGAGATTGTAGTAATTCAGTCACATCTTCAGGCTCTCTACTTCTAATTGTATTTCTCTTGATATCACCACAACTGCAGTGACTTCTTGTCCTGAAGTCTTGAACCCCTCAGAGTCATCCATGAAGGTTGGAATAAACTTCTCCCAAACTCATATTAATGTTTCTATTTTGACCTCCTCCCATGAATCATGCATGTTCTTCGTGACATCTACAATGGCAAATCCTTTCCAGAAAGTTTTTAATTTACTTTGCCCAGATCCATCAGAGGAATCACTATCTATGGCAGCTAAAGCCTTACAAAATGTATTTTTTAAATATTAAGACTTAAAAGTCGAAGTTACTCCTTTATCCATGGGCGACAGAGTGGATATTGTGTTGGCAGCTATGAAAACATTAATCCCCTTGTGTGTCTTCATCAGAGCTCTTGGGTGACAAGGCCATTGTTAATGAGCAGTAGTATTTTCGAAAGAATCTTTTTTTTTCTGAACAGTGGGTCTCTGTAGTGGCCTTAAAATATTCAGTAAATCATGTGGTAAACAGATTTGCTGTCATCCAGGCTTTGTTGTTCCATTTATAGAGCACCGATAGAGTAGTAATTCTTAAGGATTCTAGGATTTTCAGAATGGTCAAATAAGCATTGGCTTCAGCTTCAAGTCACCAGCTGCATTAACCCCCAACGAGGGAGTCAGCCTGTTCTTTGAAGCTTTGAAGCCAGACATTGACTTCTCTCTAGCTATGAAAGTTCTGGATGGCATATTCTTCTAGTATCAGGCTGTCTTATTTAATTTGAAAACCTGTTGTTGAACCACCTTCATCAGGTATCTTAGATCTTCTGCATAACTTGTTGCAGTTTGTATATCAGCAGTTGCTGCATCACCTTCCACTTTTGTGTTATGGAGACAGCTTCTACTCTTAAACCTCATGAACTAGTTTTCTGCTTCAAACTTTTCTTCTGCAGCTTCCTCACCTCTCTCACATCTTAGAATTGAAGAGAATTGGAATTTGCTCTGGATTAGGCTTTGGTTTAAGGAAATGTTGCAACTAGTTTGATCTTCTATCCAGATCATTTAAACTTTCTCTGTATCAGCAATAAGGCTGTTTTGCTTTTCTGTCTGTTATGGATGTTCACTGGAGTAGTGCTTTTAATTTCGTTTATGAACTTTTCCTTTACATTCACAACTTGGCTAACTGGTACAAGAGGCCTAGCTTTCAGCCTGTTGTAACTGTTTATAGGCCTTTCTCACTAAGCTTAATCATTTCTAGCTTTGGATTTAAAATGAGAGATGTGTGACTCTTCCTTTCACTTGAACACTAAGAGGCCATTTTTTGCCTAATTTAAATATTATAATGTTTCTAGGGGTAAGGAGTCCTGAGAAGGAGAAAGACAGGGGAGATCCCACACTGGGGAGTGGTGGATCGGTGAAGCTGTCAGAGAACATACATCATTTCTTGATTAAGTACACATTGAATATCACAGATCACCATAATATATTTAATAATAATGAAAAAGTTTGAGATACAGAAAGAATTACCAAAATGTGACACAGACACAAAATAAGTGTGCTGTTGGAAAATGGCGCTGATAGCCTTGCTCAGTGCAAAATTGCCACAGATCTTCAATATGTAAAAAGTGCAATATTTGTGAACCACAATAAAACGAGATATACCTGCATTGAATTTCCATTAGAAGTTTCTTTATGCTGTCTAGTTTCTAAACGTTTGCATGCACACTAACATTGGCACCTGAAATACCGTGTTTTACGTAGTTCTTAGCAGAATTCTAGGGAATATTTCTAGATTAAGCTATGTATGATTACATATTTGCAAATCTTAAATCTGGTATTGACATATGCCCTTACACATTTCAGGAAGACAAACTTCTGCTTGAGAGCCAGCTCATCCTAGCTACAGCTGAACCACTCTGTCTTGATCCTTCTATAGCAGTCACCTGCACTGCAAACAGACTGCTCTATAACAAGCAAAAGATGAACACTCGCCCAATGAAACGGTAATTGCCTTTGTGGAAGGGTGAACCAAAAGACACAAGTAGCTGTAAATTTTGCTATTTATAGTATCTTTTCCCTCCAGGGTATGGTTGCTCTGATTTTGGTGGAGAAGGGTAGAGATGGGGTCTCTCTTTGTTGCCCAGGCTAGTCTTGAACTCTTGGCTTCAAGTGATCCTCCCACTTTGGCTTCCCAAATAGCTGGGATTATAAGCATGACCAACTACACCAGCCTCTGATTTTTTTTTTTTTTTGAAAATAGGATTTTTAATGGTCTTATTTTATATTTTTTTGTATAGCATTATTATTTTTTAATGCTCTATGCTTCAGATTGAACTGATGCATTTTCTACAGTCTTTTAAAGAATAAACTTTTTCTAAGTTTATAGTCTGTTTTCCAAAAAGGTAAAGAGGCTGAGATCAAATATGAACAGAAGTAATAATTTTTTCATTATTTTCCTAATAACGAATGACTGATTTAATTGTTGTTAATCCTACTTTTAAAGAAAGATTTTGTAATTTCAAGATTTGAGAAAATATGATCATAGAAGAAGTCAGTTAGTTATAAACTGAATCTAGGCACACCTACCTTGTGTTTTTGAAACAAACCAAGCTTATTCCTCCCTTAGCATCTTTTAAAAATGTCTCTTCAAATACTCATTCCTTGATCTTTCAGAATATTTTCTTTTCCCCACCCTCCATGGGAAACATGAGGGAATTTTTCCCCGGTAGTCACTGTGAGAACCTCTTTGAGCTCCTGGAGATAAAACCTCCAAAAGTGTGGGGGCTCCCAGTGACTAGATCCCCCTGGAGTTTCGAATCTCTCAGACACGTCCACACTAGGCCTCCAGCAGTTCATCAGTTATACTTGAGGTTCCCTACCCTGGCACTGGTTCCTGAAGAGGTTTGTGCTAATGGGTTTCTGCTTCAGCAAGCCATGATGGGTCTGCGTTATTGGTTTCTCCAAGTTTGGGGCAGTGGTTTGTCTTGTGACCACATCTCTTTGATGGATCTAAGAAGAATCGTTAATTTTTATGTTTATTCAGCTTTTTACTTGTTAGGATGAGGTGGGAACTTCCAGAGTCTTACATGCCTATACCCGAAACTGGAAATTATCCCCTTCACCTTCATCTTTCCATAGCTAGTTCCTTCTCATCATTCCTGTCTCTGCTAACATGTCATTTTTTCAGGCTGGTTTCCTCCCCTCCCTCTCCCACTTGCCTGCCCTAGTGTTGCCCTCCTTATCCCGTATTCTCCACGGTACTGTTTTTTATCTTACTGCTTCTTGGTATCTGAAATCTGAAATTATTTTATCTGTTTACTTGTGAATGTCTCCTCCCCTTCTGGACTTGATAGCCTGTGGTGATGGGAATTTTGTTTCTTATTCATTTTTATTTCACCTAGTCCTAGTTCCTAGGACAGTGCTTGGCATGTGGCAGTGTTCTATAAACATGATTTGTACATACTCAGCAGTGACTAGTTTCAACTCACATATATTACGAGCTTCTTTTATTAGTGCTGTTTAGTTCAAATTTCTTAACATTTCAGGTGTTTCAAGAGGTATTCCAGATCCTCTCTGAATCGGCAGCAAGATCTGTCTCATTGTCCACCTCCTCCTCAGCTGAGGTTACTTGATTTCTTACAAAAAAGAAAGGAAAGAAAAGCAGGTCAGCATTATGACCTCAAAATTTCTAAAGCAGGAAATGTAAGTATATGTTTTTTAAATGAAGCTTATTGTGCCCAAAAACCTGTCTTATTTAGCATTTTTTCTGTATATTTATATTGTTTTTAATTTTTCAGTGTGTAGATATGTGGAAACGGAGTCCCTGTAATTTGGCTATACCTTCTGAAGTAGATGTAAGTTGGTTCATGAATTTTTTTTTTTCATATAGTTTCTAAGTTTTACCATTCATTTGCTTATACCTTGAGAAAACAACAACAAAAAACTTCTTTTAAAAACAAAGTGATTTAGATCATACTCTTTTTTTTTTTTTTTCGTACCTCAGGTTTATTTGTACAAATAGCACAGGAGGACCCCGGTCCCATGCAGATGGCAGCCCGGAGGCGGGGGTGGGGGGTCGCACCAGTCCTTCTGTCCTCACGTTGGCAGACAGAGATATCTACTCTGTAGCCTTTGTAGGGGTCTGGGCACCTTTGGGAGCCTGAGCTGGAATTGAAGCTGGAGCTGCAGCCTGGACCTTGGTTTGATTATTGGCCTTGGCCTTTGGTGTGCAGAGCCGGAGCCCCTTGGCAATGCGAGCATGAGCATGCTTCCCAAGCTTGGGGTGGGCAATGTAGGCAACTCGATCGAGCTTGCGGCTGACACCCTTTGGGATCTTGGGCTTAACCTCCTTGGGTTTTACAGGGGCCTTGATAGTCTTGGCACATGCACTTATGGCCTTGACACTGTTGGCCTGCATCTTCTTTAGGCCCTTGTTGTGCCTCTTGGCAAAGCACATGTTCCTCAGGAACTTGGGGTCCACCCCCTTAAGAGATTTGTATCTTTGTGATCGGGGTTTCTTGATATCATTGCTGTGCCATTTTCGGGACTGGTTGTGCGTGATGTGATTCTTGGACTTGCCATGTCTGCACCTTAAGCCGTGGCTCCCGAAGCGCCTAGAACCGGAAAGAGAAAGGGGCAATCATAGTCTTTTTTTAAAAACAATATGATTTGTTTCAAAAAACATTGAAAAATGATTTTTAGAAGCTGTGTATTGTTCTTTTTTCACATTAAGTTGAAAAAACATAACCCCTTAATATAGTTGTGTTTGGAGCAGGAATAGTAAACAAAACAATTTTAAAATGTGGAAAAATATAGTGTATATTACATAATCACGTGAAATCTCTCTTGTTTTCATAATATTTCATCAAAATTTCCTAATAGTGCTTGTTTCCTCGAAGTGGTTAAATTTGAAGATTTAATAATACTATTTAAAAAAATAAAATAAAGATTAATAATACTAGAGAAGTAACCAAGATTAGGAACATTGGGTTGTATTCTTTATTGATCTATAATATACATGAATATGAATGCTTGAAGACAGAAAAGGGATATTTTGATGAGTGATCCTATATTTTTCTTTCTCCTCTGTTCTTTTTTATATTCACTCTTTATTTTCAGATTTGTTCTTCTGTTGCACCCTTTCCATGCTAGCACATGCATTATTCTTACTATTTCTGATTTTATAAAAAGAAATTATTCTAAGCACAAAGCCAGAAACAGCAGTAGACTGTATATACAACTCAAGGAAGTAAGCCATATTATCTGTTGGTAGCTTATGCGCAATTCTTCAAGGAACATGGCCTGAGGATAGAATTTCAGTGTAAATACTAAAGGGTGAAGTTTAGCTTTGGAGGACAGGCTGGAGTACTTCCCATACTTTAATGTCCTTAGGAATCACCTGGAGAGCTTGTTAAATTGTAGATTGCTACTCAGCAAGTCTGGTCTGAGGCATAAGATGCAGTTCTCACAAGCTCCTAGGTTATGTGATGCTGAGGTCCATGGACCACACATTGAGTAGCAGCTGCCCTCAAAGCTTCTCAGTCTAGCTCAATCAGAAGAATCACCTAGGATATCAGTTAAACATAAGAGATTTCAAGCCCTACTCAAGATCTACGTACTTAGGGTTTCTAAGGACAGACATGAAAATCTGTATTTTTAATAGGTGCCCCAGATAAGTCTAAATTACTCTTAAGATCGTGGTTGCCAGTAAGATAATAACATTTGACTCACACAGATACCTAGGACATGTACAGAATACATGGTCAAGTCTGACTAGAAAGTGGAAAAGGTTCAAAAAATTTGATCAGCTTTAACATTTTACCTTCCATAGTCTCCCTTAGTTTTGTTGCCACTGTTACATGACAGCTCTTATTTCAAGAAAAGCCCTGCCAAAAGGAAAAGATCCTGATCCTTATCTCTCTGACATTCCAGTTTTCCTGAAGGAAAAGCTCTAAAGGAATAAACATACCAGCTTATGGACAAAAAAATGAAGAGGCACTGTCTAGAAAAGCAGCTATGTTTATTAACATTTAATTAGTTTGGTTTTATTAAAGTTGTTTTATACACATCAGAAGACTTTTAAACTACTTAAGCGTAAGTAGTTGGTACTGGTGATTTAAGAATTCCTGCACTAACAAGTATATTGTATTGTCGAGTTACTTAGTTTCTTCTCTTTGATCAGAGTACTGATTCCATTTTATCTGATATGGATTCTATTTTATGTGGTATTTCTTGATTTGATTGTTTAGGTGGAGAAATATGCTAAAGTAGAAAAGTCTATCAAATCTGATGACTCACAGCCAACAGTCTGGCCAGCCCATGTAAGTAATCATTGCCTGTCTCTGTTTCTAATTATGCCATTTCTAATCTGGCCTCTGAATTTATTAAACATAAAGTGCAGTTGCCATTAGTTTGGGACCTTTTTTCTTTTTTAAATTACTTTCTGGAAGTTCAGTTTATTACATGAAGAAACAACTATTTTGTTCATCAAAGTATGCTTTGCATTTTAAACAGCAATTTTTTATTTTTAAATTTTTTTTATTTTTATTTTATTTTATTTTTTTGAGATGGAGTTTGGCACTTATCGCCCAGACTGGAGTGCAATGGTGCGATCGTGGCTCACTGCAACCTCCTCCACTTCCCAGGTTCATGCAATTCTCCTGCCTCAGCCTCCTGAGTTGCTGGGATTACAGGCACCCGCCACCATACCTGGCTAATTTTTGTATTTTTAGTAGAGACGGGGTTTCACCATGTTAGCCAGGCTGGTCTCGAACCCCCAATCTCACGTGATCCGCCCACCTTGGCCTCCCAAAGTGCTGGGATTACAGGCATGAGCCACTGCGCCTGGCCTTAAAGAGCAATTTTAATGAAGAACTTCTTTTTTACTTTTGGTTTGCATATTGGTAGTTCTGTTTTGTTTTGTTTCAAATTAACAAATTCTTCTAAGGATACCTTTTTGTAAGTTTCCTAATTGGAATAATAACATCTTAAAAAGACAGAAATAGGTATAATATTTAAATTAGGTGAACCCTAGGAGTGAAATGACGAGAGATGTTTTGTGTGTGTGATAGCAAAAGCAGACAAATGGTAAATAGAAACAGATCTGCTTTTGAAAGTTCTATCCTTTTAATATTATTTAATATTTGCAATTCATATATCTAGTCTGAAATTCTGCCATATTAAGCTTGATTAAACATGCCATCAGAATTCTCCTTCCGAGAGTACCATGTAAAAAATAATCCTGTACTGCCCTCCTGAGCATAAACAGGCACGGCAGCATGAGGATCGGGGTGCTAGCTTAGGGACAGACTGCTAACTCCCTGTGTGACCCTAGGCAATTCTTTTAACCTCTCTGCTTAATTCCCTGACTTCTAATATGGAGATAACAGTGCCAACCATAAAAATATGATGAAGCTTACTTGAGGCAGTCCCTGTAGAGTGCTGAGAACAGTGTTTAATGTTCATTGTTATTATTTCCAGTATGTATATTAATATGTCTAATAATGTGTTTAATGATGTATTAATATTGTTACATATAAGTTCGTATTTCGTAGTATATGTTAATGCTTTATTAAATGCATGCTGAGTGGCCATACAGTTTTTAGGAAAAGAGCCATGCTGTGCTTTATTCTGGTAGGCAGACTTAAACATCTTTTAGCCTAAGTACCATGTGTCTTCCTATCGTCAGATACATATTACTGTGTCATTTATTCCTAATTTTTACTAATTCTTAATGCCTGCCTACTTGTGAAGATATTTATTTGAGGTGCTATGTGTTTTTCAGGACGTAAAAGATGATTATGTATTTGAATGTGAAACTGGTACTCAGTATCAGAAAACAAAGCTGACCATCTTGCAGTCGCTTGGAGATCCACTTTACTATGGTAAAATACAGCCATGTAAAGCAGATGAAGAAAGTGACAGCCAGATGTCTCCATCACAGTGAGTTCTGTTAAATACAAGTAACTGAAAAAAAAAAATAAGGCACCAAGAATTTATCTAGTAACTACTGATGAACCATTAATGAATAAAAATTTCTCTTGGGTCTCATTTATTAGTTAGACCTAAGTAAACTTATAGTAGACCTAATAACTTATTAGTAGACCTAAGTAAACTGAAGTCATAGTTACCGTGTTGCTCAAGAGTTATTAAATAGCAAAAAAACCTATGGTATAATTATTTTTATGCTTGTTTTGAAGGCTATTCCTGTGATATCCTTCTTTATCTATTTATGGCACTTAGGACTTTAACCTGTGAACATGAAGTGTTTGGGCAATAGTGTGTTTAAATAGGAAGCAAGTTTACCATAAATGTAAAAAGATGCTTGGTATTTGGCACTGCATGTAAGGACACAGACTCAGTGCTTATTGTAGTTATTGACCCTACATATTAATACATAAAAATATAGATGATCTTCCAAAATGTGTGAACTACATATATTTGGTACTGTCAGTATTTAGTTTTATTTTGTTTTACTATGTTTGGTTTTTTTAATCAAATTGATGCTGTTTTGAGAAAAAGAAAAAAGCTCAGCAGAAAAGGACAGGGGCCAGGTCTATGTTAATTTTTAAGCCTTTACTTACACAAAATACTAATTGAATCTACAGTAGAAAGGTGTATTTTAAAGAGCAACCCCACCAATATTTAGGTAAAAGTCAATGAAAGGAAATAACAGGGAATCCTCAGCTTCTTTTTTCACATGACCAGTTTTTATTGTTGTAAAAGGATCAGATGTTTTGATTACATGCATTTTCTTCTTTTTTTAAAAGTTATAGACATCATAACAGTTTATTTCTGAATCCTCAGCATGCATTTCTGAGGAAGCCATTTTTTTTTCTTTATTTTAGCTATAGGGGTTATGTGTGCAGGTTTGTTACAGAGGTATATTGTATGATGCTAAGGTGTGGGTGTCTACTGATCCCATCACCCAGGTAGTGAATATAGTACCCAATATTGATTACTTATATTTAAAAAAATCTTCAACTTAAAGACAACATATATTGGCCATTTTTAATTTATTAACTTATTTTTGTAGAACACAAGGGTGATGCATGTTCTTTTGTGAAAAAATTGGTCTATAGAGCCAAATGACTGATTTGTTTGACAGGAAGAGAATTGAATTTTTTACCTTTGCATCAGAGTAGCTGCATGATTTATTATTTTCCAGTCATTCTTCCGTACTCATAAATATTTTATTGAATAAACTATGAAGTTAAAGTTTGAGCTGCATTAACTAAGCTTTTTTTTACATTTTATATTTCAGCTCCTCCACAGATGATCATTCAAATTGGTAATTAAAAAATAAACTCTTTTAATCTGTTAAGAAATTACGTAAATATCAAACTCTTTAAAAAGACTTGCTAAAGATATTTTATTTGAATCGGTGATAAATATATATACCTTGTTTGAAATATATTCTAAGGATCTGTTATGTAGACATTTAATTCTAAAATCACAGGTTAAAGTGAGAGAAAGGCCAAAGACCTTTCCACATGGTAGTTCAGTGATTTTGCTTTAGGGTCAATAGTTGTAAGGGTATATAGCACTTGGTAACTTTCAGCCCAGATTATGTTTTAATAAATAAATTTTGTGCCAAAAGAAATATCCCTCAATTTAATCAACCAAATTATTCACATTGTTTCATAATGCATGCAAAACTTCGTCATTGTTTCGTATGTGTAAATGCATTAAAAAATTCTGTTTCCATATCTTGATAGATTTAATACCAGTTTATATTATTGTGACTAAAACATGGAAGATTTCAAAAGTAATCCCAAGGCTTCTTAAGACAACTCTTAGCTAATACTTTTCTCTCCTTTTTTTTTCCTTAAACATTTTAGGTTCGTTATTGGATCAAAGACCGATGCCGAGAGGTGAAAATATTTGCATCTCTGTTTTGGTCAGGATGGATATGAAAAATTTTTCATCCTTATAGGATAGAGAGTACTTTACTAGGAGTTAAAAACATTGATTTTGGTTATGCTATTAACCATATTTATACTGTTTAATATTTATGGGCCTCTGTTGTAAAATTAGGGCATTGGACAGTAAAACCTCTAAGGTCTTTTCCAACTTTAAAATCTTATTGATTCTAGAAAAATGAAAGCTTGTGATACGCCAAACTATTAAGAATGGTTCTTTTCATGG